GGACGCTACAGCTACTCAGCTAAGCTTTTAACTCGAATCTCTAAAACATTGCATTTAGAAATAAATAAATAAATAAGAAATTCTCTTAAAAAATGAGAAAATCGACCATAAACTAAGCTCGAAGCGAATTCATAGTTCACTTAATTGTGCAGCCAGAAAGAAAACTCTTCATCTTAGTCGAGTTAAATATCATCATTTTTTTACTAGATGCCGAAGAAGCTGGACTTGCCCCATCAAAGTTTAAGAAAGGAATGTCTTGCTTGCTTTGCATAGGATACAATCGAAAGGAAAAGTAGTAAAATTATTATTAAATTTCACATATTCCACAAATTTCCTTCTATCGCTTATACACAGTTTGCTTTCGATCGCGAGCTTATTGATAGAAGAAATGTGCATCTCATCGTTATAGCGGGGCGTGCATAAAAATTAAAAATTATTGTAATTTCAATTCAAGTGAATAGAAGCTTTGTCTCGCCTTGCAATTTATAGAAAATGTTCTTAGAAATTATTCACTTGGGTTGTGTTTGTAGCCCTGGGTGCATATTACTTGGAGAGAGAAAAGTTTTATAGCTCTTTTCTGATTTGTTAGCTAAACAGAACGCGCATACAGTTTAGTTTGTATCTCTTGAGAATGTTTCGGAGAAAAGCAATCAACTTTTTCAATTCGTATTTAAAAATTAGCTGACTGCACTCCCATAGCGTCAAAATGGGAAAAGTATTTAAGGAATTTTATTAAGGGAAAGGAGTGCAAATTTTCCCGAGGCATTTGCAAGAAACTTGCAGCTCGAACTTTAGACAGGAAAGCTTTTCTTCTAGATTTATAGATTTGTAGAAGATCAGATCAAGCAGATACGAATTTATACCAAGCAGTTGGAAGTACATTCAACTTGTCCTCCCATCGCCAAATTAGTAAAATATAAATGTTCTTGCAGGTGAGTACTGTGCGTCTCTTTACCTTTTTGACCTTGATTTTTAAATGATGAGATGAAAGAAGACCAAAGACTAGTTGACCGCCAATTTGTCATTGATACCCAGGTCTGGTTTCCCATAAGAAACCATATTATTTTTAGAAATCTCAAACGACGCTTATAAAAAAAGAATTCACGTCAAGCCCGATCGTTTGTTTACGCTTTTAGTGACGCTGCTGTTGTTGTTTTCAAAACAATGAAAAAACCGGAATTTCGTTTGTTAATGAAATATTGCGTTTTCAAAGTCAGCACTGGCTTGAAAACGGTTATTCCATCGAAAACGACAATTTGTCGGTCGTTACGATAATGCCATGCACAGTGAATAACCGACAAGAAATGATTGTACAAAAAACATTTAAAAAAATCTTAAAAAATTAATCTCGGTAATCAAAAAGTGAAGCTACAAGACATCCGACAACACCGACAACAGCACATTTATGATGGTGCCTGAAAGTTTTGGCATGAAAAAGCTCTTTTCCAAAGATGTGCCGCCTTTACTCAAAATGAAACGAAAACACCGTCGCACAAGTCGCTAGGCACAATGGAAAAATTGCAAGGATTCAAATTCGAAAACCTTTCCCACCAATAAGCGTTGGACTGCGAGTCCCGGTCTTGCCGAACATTACTTTGTTCGATAAAGTCCAATTTTATGAGAAAGACATAAGATCTTTTAGGGAACACTTCGGGACATACCTTTGTCATTTAATGAGCAGATAAGTGACTTGTTCAATTTCATATGAAAAGCCCTTTCAGGTTTGCATGCTATCCCTTACGAAGACAATTCTTAATCAACTAACTCTTTGGAAAATATGTAAACATTCCGCAAGTTCAATTTAGAAATGACGTCAAATTGAATTTTAATTGCGTTTGAATATCCCAACGATCGTTTGCAGAAACTGTAAACTTTCGAAAAAAATTATCGTAAACGCTAAGAACAATGTCAGTGTAAGAAAGCTATCATGAGGCAATGGGCACCTTTACTCTTAAGAGGCTGTAAACTAAATTCTTTTCTAACCTTTTTTTTTTCTTTATGGCAGAAAACAATAAAATAATCCCGGGACTAAATTCGCAATTTTTTAAATCTTTATATCAAGGTAGTTGAATGCACTTGCATGTACGAATATTAAAAAGTATTGCATATTTTTGGCATACACTTAAATGAATTATGTTTAAAAAATAAGAAACCTTTACAGTGCCTCTCTCTCTCTGTATGTCTCTCCGTCGTTGGATTTCTGTTAAGTTTTAACATGAACACACAAAAAAGTAAAGACGAATCTTTACATAAACTAAAAAATTTATAGTAAACCATATGTATCACACGATAAGTGTTAATGTTTTCCATTTATTAGGAAATATGATGATATGGAGGTGACGTGTGGTAAACAACTTACTTAGTTAGTGCATCTCTCTGTTTTGGTTACGCATGATGATAACAACAACTAAGAGATTTATATTCGGCGGGGACCGAATCTCACACAACCACCATATAAACGCTTGGTCCACTTCAGATTTTTCTGCCCAAGAAATCGGTTTTTTAAACGCCGCAAGGCTTTATGTATTCAATGTCTACCATAATTAAGTTATCCCTTTATCGTGTTGTAGTCTCCAAATCCTTTCATTTGGTACCTATATCAAAGGTATTTTTAAGTAAACAAACATCCACTAAGTCGTGACGTCTACCACAATTAATTTAGAATTAACTCACTTAGCTTCTCGCATTGTACTCCTCCCTAGCAACGGGATTGTAACAAAAAAATGATTTCGATAGCTCGTGATAGCTCGTCCAAGATATTCAATTTGTAACTAACACGTTTAGCTCTACTCTTCAAGTTCTTTTATTTCATACCCATATCGCTGGTATAATTAAGAAGAAACGAACCAACTATCTCGCAGTGTCTGCCGACTTTATGTGTGGGGAGCAAAAACCCACAAATTTTTGCTCAGAAAAACGGAGTTGCCTCCTGTTTACGCTACCGGTTTCTGCTCTGACCAATTTGGCGCATTTTTACTACCAATCTGCGTGCAAATCTTCCAATGTCTCTACCAAATTAGAAGTCGATATCTTCATTTTTGTGATCAGAAAAATGCCAACAGCGAACATCACACAGGCACACGCGCACATAGACGGACAGACATGGCTTAATTAACTCAGAATATCACGCTGATCAAGAATATACACACTTTATAGGGTCTCTGAAGCTTCCTTTTGGAAGAAAACAGAATAAGCATACCCCCACCCATCCTTCAGCGAAAGGAATAAAAAATTATGATACGTTTTTCTGTCTTGGATTTGTGATAGGAGTATAGGGGAAACCCTTCTAATAAGTAATTTTTATAAATTTTTATAATGCCTCACAATATTGCTCTCATCAGTTCATAAAATTTGCGTACAATTGTTTTCGCCTCAGTGAGCCGGACGTTTTTGCCGGAAAAGACAATATATATTCTCGCGTTTTAAAGTAGTCGCAGCTGATTCCGCTTTTAATTTAGGGCCATAGATCAGCAACACAATTTTCCCTAGTCCGTGGCAAGAGATAGAGAGAGAGAGAGTGGCGGGAGGAAAAAGGTAGACGTGGATTAACTACATATATCTTAGAGGATCTCCGAAACGCCAAAGAGCTTTTCATAAAAAATTTATTAGTCGGCATTCACCAAAGCTATTTCAAGTAATTAAATTGTAATCATCCTAATGGTTCGTAAGTAATTTAAAATTTTGACGAGGTATTCATGTAAATCAAATAAGAAAAACAGTTAAAGCAGCACGCAAAACAAACTTGGCTTGACGTATATTAGCAATCAAAAGACATATTATGACGCAATAGGTTTTAACATTCACTTAAAATAGTATCTTTATGCTAGAAATTGATCGATATTTCGTTAAAACAAAACAATGATGCACGAACGTAGAGCGAAGTTATCTCTTACACCCAACGCTTGTTCTTACTGTTGTGGCCTTGAAATATGTTCATCAGACATGCATACATAAAGCTTTACACGCGTACAGATTTAGTTATTTTCATTTATTCTCTCCTTCGCTGCCTATTGCCTTTAAAAGCCTGCCGCCCAGGAAAAAAGTTAACAAGCAGGTGTTAGGCGTCCAAGGCGTAGGCTAAGAACCAATGGCAGAACCGAACTATTAGCAGTCAAAAACTCCGAGCTTGTAGCAAATTTGCCTTGATTCGAACCGAAACTTATCCACCTCACCTTAATTATCTGCCTACAAATAAGAACAACAATTTGCACCTTTTACTGAAATGCTTTGAATGGGGCAGAGATAACTCAGAGATAACCCTTAGGTGATTATAATGATTGCATTTTTCATTCCTTTTAAAAACCTACTTATTTCAATGAATATTTCAAAAATTTCAATTGGAAAATTTGTACTGCTTTGGAATGATATTGAAAAACTTTTGTTTCAATCTCAATTATGGAATAATGACTGAATTTCTGCTTACAAGTAAACGCATTTTTACCATAATTGTAACAAATGCTACAAATTTATGATAAAGCAGTTTATGAAAAAACAGGTAAGAAAGTTATATTTGGCGAGGACCGAATCTCGCATACCCACCTCCACGCTT